TTTTATTTTATTTTATTTTATTTTATTTTATTTTTGTTACACCTGTCCCAGGATTCCTTGGCAAGGTTTCCTAAAACAGCTTAGCACTCTGCTGTGTTTCTCAACTCTATATGTTCAGATCTCTCAGAGGGTAGTATAGTATTCGGGGTGAAGATATAAAGTTGTATGAATAGAAAGTGTAACACAGTAATTAGCTGTGAGACTAAATACTGTTCAAGTAGGTTGTAAACTAAGTTGATAAGTTGACCGATGAAGTCTAAGAGTAAACCCAGAGACTGTCATCGTTCAAAGGTCTATATATACATGAGGAAGTTCTCTATAGAACTTCAGGATACGACAAGCAATTAGTCGTGAGTGGTGTCGAGGTCGTGAGCGCTCATGAGGCCGTGAGCGCTTGCGACCATCCCGGCCACTAATGTCCAAGCCTTGGCGTCAAACCATGCATATATAACCAAATGGTCCAGTCGTTAATATTTCCGACTGTTCCGAGGAAACGAACATGTGTTGTTTCGGACAACACAAAATACATAAGTGCAGAATAAGAAGCATATTCTCTCAAACAGGAAGATCCGAGAAATTATACAAAGAATAATTCTGTGAGCAAAACAGAAGCAAGAAACAGAAGCATGTTTGTCGCGCCAAGCCCTATTTCCTAATCCGGTTAGTCAATATGGCTGGGCCGTGACACTTTTATTTTATTTTATTTTATTTTATTTTATTTTATTTTATTTTATTTTATTTTATTTTATTTTATTTTATTTTATTTTATTTTATTTTATTTTATTTTATTTTATTTTATTTTATTTTATTTTATTTTAGTTTAGTTTATTTTGTGAGTTTCCGAACTTTAAAACTGATTTATCAAACAAAATGGTATGAAAAAGAACAAAATTGTGTTGTTCTGTTTGAGTTTGTTGGATTTGTTAAATTTTTTATTTTTTGTGCCGGGGGGTCGCTATTTCGCGCCATAGCTAGGCTAGGTGTACGGTGCATCATAGGTGGCATTTAGGGTTATAATATAAAATCCAATATTAATACATATTTTATATGGATTATAATGCAGAAGAAAGTAGTGTTGTAACTGGATTTTCTGTACATTGGTATTGTATTGATATATCAGGAGTGTTACTCGCGACTTGGCTACCAGTTATCGACTTAGCTACCTGTTTAAAGGCCTAACTGCTGGCCTGGCTTCTGGTTAGCTACCTAGCTAGCCATCCGCCCGGCTGCTGGCGACCTGGCTAATGACCTGACTCCTAACAAATACCTGCCTGGTTACTGGCTACCTGCCTGGCTACCGAAACAATTGGCTAACAAGCGGCTAGCCAGGCCAAGTAGCTAGTAGCCAGGCCAGTAGCCAGACCGATAGTAATGCTGCTGATATACCAATACAACACTGACGTATAGAAAATCTGATTACAACACTACTTTTCAGTTTCGTAACTAAACTTTTGATTACTTTTTCTATATGTGTTGATGTTGGATTTTATGTTATGGTTCTGAGTGTTACTAATGGCGCGTTGGTGCGCTGATTATCGTGCGAAGATGTATAGCCACTGCCACGGCAAACAGTTCGGGTTCATTCTGGCGCGAGCTTCGAAGCTGAGAAGGAACCCTGGGATGTCTTTTTAGAGTTCATCATTTATACTGCTGTGTAGATTTTAAGAGAAAATATAGAAATTGCAAGCAGAACTCGGACCCCTAATCAACTAATAAAAAACAACTCCACACATTTAACCATAATTCCCCTTCCGCGTTTTTCAAGAAATTTGTAAAGTCTTAAGTTTCAGAACTTAAAAGTTCATTCCGGTGGGGTGTTCTTCGACGTAGTTTGGGAAGTATTATGCTTCCGCCCTAAATAACTTGGTTGGAAAGAAATAATACTATTTTGTAAGGTACTTCCGGACATGTAGACCAGCAAGCCCTCCAACGTACCCAGATACGTGCAACCGCGCTTTCTACCTCTAAAATCCGGAACAGTGTTAATGCGGTCGTTGAATGAAATTAACGGCGTAGAGGTAGATCGGTGTCGCCGACCTCGAAGTTTCTTTTTGCTTGAATTCCGAGCCACAACACTGGTTGGTGAGACTCTGTATTTGATATAAAACTTGAAACGCTTCTGTCAAATTTCCAGTGCCTTCGGCGGCTTCTATGAGCGCTCTTCACCCTCATTCTGCGAGTGTTCATTTCGACCTCGGGTAAGCCAAACCACGGTGTATTTCTATTCAACCGCATTTGTAGACAAGACGTGGATAAAACGCCGCACCCAATAGTCTCTACTTCCGCTGAGATCTCTTTCCAGGTACATCCGTTGTGCCGTTTTTTTAGGAGAAATGCATTTTCGGGCCAAAGATTCGGGAATTCATTTGCCGCTAGCAGGATAGAGAGAGGGTACACAACCGGTACTTCTACTTTCCTTCTCTGTAGATGGAAGCTTCGTCTAGAATTTTGAAACGAATGAACTTCTAGATAGGGTTTCTGGTGTTGGCTGATTTCCATAGGCACAACCGATCCTCGTAATTTGTGACTTTCGCACATCGTATGTATCTTTCAGCCAGCTTGTTGATGGTAGAACACCCATCGCGAGACTACATTCACAAGTCGCGGCTGGGATGTAGCTTGGTTTTCTAGGCGGTGTGGGGCCCTAGGTAGGACACTAACTAAAATAGAACCTAAGCCTAATATTTGACCCGCACTGTTATCTAATACTTGCGTTTTAATATATGACTACTAGGTGGGTGTGTGCTAACTACACTCTAAAACTACAAACTGTTCAATCCGTACATCTTCAATTGAGGTTACATTGAGGGACTCCTAACCCCGAAGATCCCTGAAAGCTGCCTTATTCTTCGATTTGTTTGCTACGAGCGTCTAGGATTTCTCCGGATCGGACTTTGGAGCATCCCGCCGACGATAGAATTTAGACGGAGCGAATAGCGTTGAACTAGTTTTTGGTTTTTCAAAAGCTTCTGTCGTTCTAGTGCGGACCGCTCTAGTATATTCTCGCTACCGGGTAGTGCTTGCCTAGTCACCCCCTCGTTTCGGCCTACCATAATCAATAATGGCGACCTGGGGTTCCGTTTCAGTTGCCCGTAGTTTCGTCTTTGTTGTCTGAAGTTCAGCCTCCGTTGCTTGTAGTAAACAAGCAATCTGTCTTCCAATGCTTGTATTCTAGCTACAGCCACTCTTTTTCTGTTTATTCTGCGGTTGATAGACTCCCATGTCTTCTCGACATCATATTTGTCCCAGTCCGATATCGAAGGCTGATCTGCGAAATAATGCTGTAAATACGATTCCAAAGGGTCGCTTAGTAGAAATAAGGGAAAAGGCAATGGGCTTCGGGCCTGCATATCTTCGTTGAGAGCTGTGTCTGGACGGTTGAGCTCCAGACAAAAATTATAGGGTGTTGGTAACTAAAAAAGGCTTAAAAGAGATGCTGTCGTTAAGGCTTGAAGGTGGGAGGCAGGCGGTCTCGGAGCCACTCAGAGCCTCTGTCTCGCACGGGCTTGTACTGCGTATTATAATATTCGTTCTAGGAGTGTCACACTCCTCCCAATTCCAACGATTTCTGTGTTTTAGCGATCGTAAAACTATCTA